TACTCTCAAATGTACAAAATATGCTGCATTCCCAGTTTTGATAATTAAAGCAAACAACTTGACATTCAGTTGTTCTGTCCTGGTTACATACTCAATTTGTGCTTGCAAAAGATGCCTTATGTCTGTAGGATACATCATTAACCTTTGCAGTGGTTTGACACTGCAACAAGTATGATGAATAAAGGATGACAAAGGCCTTAGTATAAGCGGGGTTTATTTATAACACCAAATTGAGACACAGAACCTAAATTTTTCACATACATGGAGTTTTTCAGTTAATGGAGTTTTTCATGGTAGAGATGGTTATGTGGGAGGCAGTTTTAAGGATTCAGCTCCTTGATTCAATACAGTTCCACACAGTACAATGGTTCATGACTGTTCACAGACCCATTAAGGTAAAACCACAATACAGAGAGCTTTTTTCTGGGCTCTGAAGGTGGGTATTTTAAGTTTGCTGATTTTCAGCTATTGAGGGATGACCAGGGCCACTGGCAAAGCTCATCTGGACACACACATTTTTTATCAACCAGTTAACGTGAAGCACTGAAAATGGTGTGTTCCCAGTAAAAGTCTTTTCATTAGTCATTAGAGAAGTCAAATAAGGGTAAAAGAGTTGTCACCAACAAAACACTTCTTTTCACTTTCAGCTTGGGATGGGTTGGGCCCATTTCCAGCCTTTCCTGTGTCTTAAAAACAATATTCTGCTGGTAGTAGGCCAAGTGCAGGGTCCTGCCCTTGGGCTGGGGCAACCCCAACACAAACACAGGCTGGAGGAGACTGGATGGAGCAGCCCTGAGGAGAAGGACTTGAGGGTGTTGGGTGGGGAGAAGCTTCCCATGACCTGGCTTCAGTGAGCGCTTGAGTCCAGACCCCCCAGAGCGTGAGCAGCAGCTCAGGGAGGGGATCCTGCCCCTCTGCTGCTCTCTGGGGAGACCCCCCCTGCAGTCCTGATCCAGCTCTGGGGCAGCAGCACAAGAGGGATCTGGAGCTGTTGGAGCGAGGCCAGAGGAGGCCATGGAGATGCTGCGAGGGCTGGAGCAGCTCTGCTCTGGAGCCAGGCTGAGAGAGCTGGGCTGGGGCAGCCTGGAGAAGAGAAGGCTCCTGAAGGGGAGACCTGAGAGCAGCTCCAGTGCCTGAAGGGGCTGCAGGAAAGCTGGGGAGGGGCCTGGGACAAGGGATGTAGGGACAGGCCAAGGGGAATGGCTTTAACCTGCCCGAGGGGAGACTGAGATGAGCTCTTAGGCAGAAGCTCTTCCCTGTGAGGGTGCTGAGGCGCTGGCACAGGGTGCCCAGAGAAGCTGTGGCTGCCCCATCCCTGGCAGTGTTCAAGGCCAGGTTGGACACAGGGGCTTGGAGCAAGCTGCTCTAGTGGAAGGGGTCCCTGCCTGTGGCAGGGGTTGGAACTAGAACCCAAACCATTCTGTGATTCTGTGGTTCCATAATAGTGTATGTAAAGTATCTAAAGGAGGAAATTGTCAAAGTCAGTTCAGAAGACAAACTCAAGAAGATGGTGGCAAGTGAGGCAAAGGGTGTAAGGACTGATGTCACGAGGATACTTCCTTCGATATTTACTTCCTTTGGTATTTACTCCCTTTGGTATTTACTCATGAGGAATAAACTAATCTAATCCTGAAAACTTGCATGCAACAAGATCAAGTGTTGTTGTCTGTAGAGGATGGTTATATCCGAGGAGCTCTGCTCTGTCTGATGCTATGGAACAATAAACAGAGAATAAAAAACACCGAGGTCTTCACAATCCTTCACCAGCCTGAAGTTTAATCCTTTGACATCTGTAAGGTGGTTTAAATCTCTCCTTTATGGTGATGGACTGCACTCTCCACATGACACCACAGGAATTTACTGCACTGAAATGTAACATCTTAATGAAGGAAAAATATAATGCTTTCTTTCTAATGCAAGCAACTCTGTCTGGTTTTGCCTTCAACCACGATTCAGAGATCCCGTAACTCATGATTCAGAGATCAGGCCCGTGTGGTCGTTAAGTTGCCATGATAGATTTTACAAAGGGGAAAATCAAGTCAGGTTTATGTAAGCTTGATAGCAGCTGCTCTTTGGAAATACATCTTAATTATGGGTAAAAATACTAAGCCATAACTTGTATACTTATCTTAAAAACCTCATTTTTTTATCTCAGGGCCATAATTTTAAACATTAGCTCTTTGCTGGGGTTAGTATTTATTTATAGCTGGATACGGTAAGCAGATAGCCCAGGAAATGCTGCTTGAGGATGGTGGTTATTAGATGTGCCTGTTAGTGACCCGTCATATTTATCTGTATTTAATTATAGAATTACTGCCATAATGCCCTAAGTCATGCCTGAGAGCAAAAGGTAGTTCCATTTGTGAGACCACTATCTGCCAGCACTCACAACTTCTTAAAAACTGTAATGGCCTTTGGGATGAAATCTTTTCAATATTGACTTTCCCTGCATGTAGCGGGTTTGGTAAAAATCAGGATCAGGTTTTCTTCTATTTATAGATACCCAGAAAAAGATGGTTTGAATGGTTAACAAAAGCTTTTTGTAAACTTTGGGGTGGGCCTGGGTAAGTAGAAATGGCTCCATTTTGAAGTGTTAAGATGACAGGATTTAGCAGGTTTGTACCCATACCACATTTAAAAATCTAGATGAGGAATACAGAAGTTATTTTGGGATTCCTGAGCCTGCAAGGTGTGTGTCCATGGTGCTGGTGTGCTCGAGTGTTCCCTCTAACTGTCAGCATGAGTTAAGTCAATCCTACACAAAAGTGTTTGCAGAATCAGAGCCAACATTTGGGAATGTTTTGAGCTTTCATATAATAAAAGCTTCAGCATGTGCTTAAATAATATTGATCTCACTGGAATTGCAATAGATACTTTACTTGCTTCCCTTAACTGAGATTATGTTCCTTTTTGAGACAGAAATGTTAAATAATTTCGACCAGGTGACAAAGCTCTGATGAATAGGTTTGATTTTTTGTTCTCTGTTCAATGTCTCTTATTTAACTGTAGTAATTTGGAGGTAAGTTAGTACAGTAATATATGGTATGGGTCTGATGATCGGGTACCACTTTCTCTTGCTTCCAGTTCCAGCTGTTAAAATACGATGTTATTTGATAGTAATGATAATTTAGAGGCACCATACTACATCATCAGCTATACTATATCATTGACTGTACTATGTCATCAGCTGTACTAAAGGAAGTGTTTTGGAAAGGAAAGGAGAAGACAAGAAGAAGCTGAGGCCTGGGTTTCTTTGTGGCTAATTCGCATGCTGCCTGAGCATCTATAGATCCCAATGCTTAATTAATCACTGAAGTATCAGGTCACCTCATGCTTGCTGCTGAGTGGAGCTCTGAACCCAGAGCTGAAGCACAGAGATAGAGTATTGATAAACTGTGAATAATTTGCACACATCATATGATCATATCACAAGTCTTCGGCAGAGAGAAGAACTGAGGTGGGTCAGTACACCACATTAAGCACAAAGTTACCATTTCTATGATGGTGATGAGCCCAGTAGCCATCACAGCGCAGTGGTTATACAAATACTGTACCCTGATGGAGTAATAAAAGCCATCAACCATCAGGAGCGAAGGGGTTTGCATAGTGTAAGATCCCTGAGAAATTAAATCAGTGTGATTGTGTAAATTTCCCCCTTCAGCCAATAGGACTGAAAGAGACAAGGGGAAAAAAAAATGTGTATGCATCGATAACTATACAGTATCCCTGAGTTCCAGTTATTATTGTTATTTGGCCGCAGAAGCAATCAGAGGCCCTGATCAATCCAGTAGAAAATAACTGTTTTCTTTGGGATTGTCCTAAGAATCCTGACTTCTGCTGTCATGATGTTTTGGATGAACAACAGTTGGGATCTGAGGTAAACATGTAAAGGAATATATATAGAAAATATACAGGGAAGAACCCCTTGATATTATCCATATGAAGTATATACACAAACTATATAGTGTGTATAGACATAGTATATACACATATATATATATTATGAAATACAGTATAGAATCATGTAATCCCAGACTGGTTTGGGTTGGAAGGGACCTTAAATCAGTTCCAACCCCCTGCCATGGGCAGGGACACCTTCCACTAGAGCAGGTTGCCCCAAGCCCCTTCCAGCCTGGCCTTGAACACTGCCAGGGTTGGGGCAGCCACATAAACAAATATAAAAAAAATATATCTTATAAAATATCATAGAATCAACTATGGAAAAGGTTGGAAAAGTCCTTTAAGACCACCAAGTCCAACCTTTACCCCAGCACTGCCAAGTTCACCGCTTAAACATGTCACTAAGGGCCTCATCTACACAGTTTGCGAACACTTGCAGGGGCGGTGACTCCAGCACTGCTCTGGGCACCCTCTTCCAACGCCTGAGCACCCTCTGGGGAAGAAGTTGCTCCTAATCTCCATCTAAACGTCCCCTGCTGCAGCTTGAGGCTGTTCCCTCTTGTCTTATTATTAGAATCATAGAACAGTTAGGGTTGGAAAGGACCTTAAGATCGTCCAGTTCCAACCCCCCTGCCATGGGCAGGGACAGCTCACACTAAACCATGCCACCCAAGGCTCTGTCCAACCTGGCCTTGAACATTGACAGGGATGGAGCATTTGCAACTTCCCTGGGCAACCCATTCCAGTGCCTCACCACCCCCTTCTCACCTGGGAGAAGAGACTGGCACCCCACCTCAGTATAACCTCCTGTCAGGCAGTTGTAGAGAGCAGTAAGGTCCCCCCTGCGCCTACTCTTCTCCAGACAAATACGTGCGCATTTACATATTTATGTCCATAACGTTACATATTCATAGAAATATACACATACGTAAATGAGACTACAAATGTAAAAATATATAAATGTGTAAGACTGTGAAAACCTAAATACATAACTGCACACACACATAAAGATAACACCACGGCGGCTCACGCTGCCGACCCCACGGCCGCCGGGCTCGCGGCAGGACCCAGCACCGGGCCGAGCGGCCCCGCCCCGCCCGAGGCCCCGCCCCTTCACGGCTCCCACCTCCCCGCCACGTCGTTCCGCGCGCCGCGGCGGCGCTGGGCCATGGCGTTCACGCTGTACTCGCTGCTGCAGGCCGCGCTGCTCTTCGTCAACGCCGTGGCCGTGTTGCATGAGGAGCGCTTCCTCCGTCACGGTGAGCCCGGGAGAGCGGGGCGCACCCACCCGCGGGCCGGCAGCGCGGCCGCCGGCACCGCCCGGCCACCGCCCGTGCGCGGAAAGGCCTCCGGGCTTCGCGGGGACCCCGTTCCGCCCCACCGAGGAGCCGGTGTTGGGCATCAGTTGCGCGGAATGCCGTCGGGGGGGTTTAGGTCCTGAAGTCCGGGCGGTATCGCTCCTGTCGTTGTGTTGTTTCTTTCTTTCTTTAATTCCATCATTTTAGAGGGGTTTTGTTTTTTTTTTTTTCTTTTCCTGTGCTTTTTGATTCTTCCGCCCTCATCTGCGCCATACGTCGCGATAGCGTGAGAAGGTTTCTTTCATCCTGTCGTTGCCCTTGTCTTGATGAGATGGCACTTCTCGGTCTTGGCACCTTTGTGCTTCCGCGGTACTGGAGAAATTACTGAGGCTGCGCATCCTCATTCTCAAAACAAAGCCCCACAAAGCACACAGGAGCCACTGACACAGATCTGCACACCCCCAGGACAAATGACCTGTGGTCCAGGGTTTCACAGTCTCCTGGTGGGGAGAGTCCAGACTTCCCTAAGGCTGAGTGAGGTTTTTGGCAGGAGTGCGGACAGTTAGCCTGTTGTCCTGTTCCCTGGAAGGATTTGCAGTGAGGGATCTGCTCAGTTCGTGTTTGGGGTTTTCTTGTTGAGCAGCAGTTCGATGGAAATGAAGATGGGATTGGCAGGACGGGTGAAGTCTCTTGTGGGCCCCACGTGATTTGGGAGTAGCAAGGGAGATGGGAAAAGGGGAATCAATCTCTCAGAAGTTACCTGTGGAGAAAAACACAGAGGTTGTGAGTGGCTTTAACCTGCCCGAGAGGAGACTGAGGTGAGCTCTTAGGCAGAAGCTCTTCCCTGTGAGGGTGCTGAGGCGCTGGCACAGGGTGCCCAGAGAAGCTGTGGCTGCCCCATCCCTGGCAGTGTTCAAGGCCAGGTTGGACACAGGGGCTTGGAGCGAGCTGCCCTAGTGGAAGGTGTCCCTGCCCGTGGCAGGGGTTCGACCTGGATGAGCCTTAAGATCCCTTCCAGCCCAGAGCAGTCTGTGATTCTACGAATATCAAAGGCCTCTCCCAGCTCTGCTCTTGAACATTCCCAGATGGTCAAGGGACGCAAAATTCCCTGATCCCGTTGCTGGGACCACATGCTTGGCCTTTCTGCAGCAGGTGGGGAAGGGTTTCTCCCTTGAAGGGCTTTGTAGGCCTGCAGCACCTCGATGTCCCTCTGAAAACCTCCCAAGGAACTGTATTTTTTTTTTTAATAGTAGTCACAAAAATCACTATCGTGGTTTGGGATTTGTGCTGACCCTTTTCTGTCATGTAGCTCCTTTCTCAGTGCTGAAGCATCATTTCATACCCGACAAATATTTGCTATTTTATCTTCTAGTAAAGAACCATGATGTAGTTTGGTTTTATTTTGGAGGGTATTTTTAAACCCAGATACACTCCTTTGTTCCTCTGGCATGAAGAGAATGGTAGCCTATTAAAAAAGTAAGGGTTTCCTTCAGAGAAACATTGATTTGTTGTTAGTGTTGCATTCATGAAAATGTTTTTTAAGTTTTCAGTATATTGCATTAAATTCTGATTGTGAACTAAAACGAATTGGTTTACGTTAATTAATATGAACCCTATTCAAGACAGATAACCCATTAATATTGCTGACAGCATTTGTTGTGTGGTTTTGGCTTTTTTTCTTCTAACATGTCTGGCTGGACTTATGTGACACAGTTGGCTGGGGAAGCGATCAAGGGATTGGAGGATTTGGAGAGGAACCAGGAATTAAAGCTCAGCTAACGAACCTCATTCGATCCATACGAACTGTAATGAGAGGTAAGGCTTTGGTTTCAGATATTACCGGCTGTGAAGTTTCTGTGCTTTAATGAAGTACCATCATTGTTTTCACTCTTCTTTTCTACCAGAGAGTTGCTATTTCTGCTCGTCATTCCCAATCTGTCCTTCCTTCACGTCTGGATTCTCTGTAGAAGGGCGCAGGTCCCAGCTCAGGTGCCCTAATTTGGATAAAGTTTAAAACGTTCCCTTATTCTGGCTTGTGGTGCCACTGCTGCATCTTGTCTTTTCCTTGGAATTTGGGAGCTTGAGGGGAGGATCAATCAGAGAGTGCAGTTATCTTCACCATTTGAAGTGCCTGGTGAGGGAAATGTAATTCCTGGTATTCTTAAGGGTAAGCCAGGCTCAGATACCTCAACAGATGAGGGGCAAAAAAGAAAAAAAAAAAGACTCTTTAATTTGTAAGTTACTGGTGCTTTTTCCCTATAAAGCACACCAAAAATTCTTTTTAAAGGGGATGATAAAGAGGAAGTAACAAATCATTATTTTTTTGCCCACACAGAGCTGATGCATTTCTTCTAAATCAGAGCAAAGCCAAGGCTGAAAACTGACTTTGAGACGGTTTAGTTTCATTTGGTGAAGGGGTTGTTTGGGTTAGAGTTAAAACATGATGGGCCACAGAAAAATATTAATGATGTTGCTTCCTACTAATTTTTAGCTTCCTAAGCTTTGATCCTGGCTCCTTCCACTAATCCTGGATTTGGGCAGCAAAATTAAATGCATTTTCAAGATTTTGATTGATTTTGCTCCTTAGTCTCCTGAGATAATGCAAAGTTCTGTCACTGGGATGTGGAAAAGGAAATTTCTACAATTACTCCTCTTCTTTCCCTGCAGTGCCACTCATAGCAGTGAACTCCATTACAATCATTCTCCTCCTGTTGTTTGGTTGAAGACACCTGGGGAAAAACATTTTGGATGGCCAAAGAAGCAAGTTATGAACCATCACCACTGAGTTTTTGGGGATCCGGCACGGTTTAGCTGTCCATCTGACATTCAACTTAACATAATAAAGACACTATTTCTATTTATCCTATTTCCTAATTGCAGTTTCATTACACAAGATACGGGGATCAATGCAACAACACTGCAAATATGTTGGACTCTGACAAGTTCTGTTGCTGCCTGTTCATAACGCTGGCTGTTGGTGTGCGCGTCGCCGGGTGTTGCCGCGGTTGTCGATCATACGCGGTTTTTAAATGTCTCATTCCTCAGGGATGAATCTCCTTTATTATCCTTCACAATTTGTTGTTAAATTAAAAAAAAAAAGTGGGTTTTATTGCACTTGCTACCACAGTACTGTTCAAGAGAATGCAAATTAGGCTCTGAAAACATTATAAATTACTGAGGTCCAATTGTGATACTGAGAGATCAAATGTTATAAATTCTGAATTCCAGTTTTATCCCCCTCAATATTACAACATGTTGTAAATTAGTGAAGTTCAGTTGTGATACAGAGAGATTTGTGATATTGAGAGGAGATAAAGCATGTCATAAATTACTGAATTCCAGTTGTGATGTTAACAGGAGATCAAGCATGTTACAGATTTCTGAATTCCAGTTGCGATATTGAGAACAGATCAAACTGGATAAAATCCTAACTCAGTTTACATTGGAAATCAAATTTTCCTGGTTTGATTTAGACCAGGATTTTCCCTCTGTGTTTCATAACCTTTTCAAACCAGTAATGGTGGCAAAGTAAGTTGAAATTGGGTGCAATTGCTATGCAAAACCTAAAAAAGCTGTACCTGGAGCTGGGTTACTGTGCTGATTTAGACTAGCGAGTGATATTAGTGACTAGTGTTTGTTACTGCTCTGTTAAGGATTATTATACATTTCTTAAAATGTGTGTTAAAAATTGTTTGTGGTGATTAGTGTGCTGGAAGTGGGGAACCATTTGTATTCTGAGCTTCTTGGGAGGAGAATACTGTGCCCTTTTCAAATGCAATTTTCATTTAAAACGAGCGTATTTGCAGCTTCTTTTGTTACTGATGCTTCTTCCCTGCCCTCCATCTTCATTAAAGAACAGCTTGGAAGTTGAAACTGAGTGTGATCTGGCAGTTGTGTTGAAGAAACACTGCTAATTGCTTTGGTACAGACCTTGTCTGAGTTAAGCCTGTCAAGTTAGGTCCGATGTTACATAGGAAGTGTGAAATTAAGGACAATTCTCATGTACCTTTTCAGAAAAGCTAGAACTCTTACATCTGTTCCTGTGCTGAAGTGTTTTAGCTATTGTAACGCAGTTTATCATCCCTTCTTCCGGCGCCTTGATGACTAAAGCATATGCTCTTTGTATACAAAGATAAATCTGTGAAATGTGTAAATGATCTTCAATCTCAGTGATCTGCAGAGGAAAGATTATCCAGGAGGAGAGGTTTATGTTGTTTCCTGTTTTTAGTGAAAACTGGTCAATAAATTGTGAATTTCTAAATTAAGCACTCTCTTTCATAACTCACTTTATATCTGTGTACAGTCGGAGTACCTCAAAACTCAGCTGCATCCTCTTTCAGATACCAGACATACAGTTCTTACATAAAAGACTCCTCTTTTTGTTTTTCGACATGCCTATGGCACTTGCAACTATCATTTCTTCACTATGAAGCTGTATATTGGTTTATATAGCTAATGAGCCATAGTAACATTGGCCTGAGGCAGAATAGGATCATGCTAGTCTTTAAAGCAGATCTATTATGAAGTATTTATTTGTAATAATCGTTGTGTAATTCAGTGGCAACGAGGGTACAGGCTCAATCAGTTATATCTATTATGGAAACTGGACAGTTTGTATGTGGAGCAGATAAAAAACATGGAAGGTATACAAGCATTTTTTAAAAATCATTGCAGAAAAAGCCATGGTAGATGTTTCCATGCTGGATGCACTGGATTGGAGCACTAATTTTGAAGCGGAGCTTGCATTCCATTTCCTTTTCATGCATACTGACAGTTAAAGGACTAGCTTGTTCTAAAACAAAGCCAGTACTAGATTACAAACTACAGCTTTAAAAATGGATGAAAAGCAATTCCCCCATCTTCCTGCCCTTTCAGGAACACTAAAGCGTCAACGTGTGTCTGACAGGACATGGGCAGATGATTTCAGAATCTTAGGCATGTGCAGTATAAAGGAGCAGTGGCTCAGCGCAGCACCAGTCCTGCGTTTGAGGCAAAACGGGGACACGTTTCACGAGGCAGATGCAGAACAGTGATTCAAAGTGGGGCAGCAGCTGAAGATCGGCTTTCCCAGCTAATGAGCAGGGAAGAGGGCAAAAGGGTAACGAGGAGAGAGGCGGGGAAAGGGGCGTAGAGAGCAACTGGAAGGGAGTAAGTACACTGCTGGTAGTGGCTTTGACCAGGTCTGAAGCATGGCTGCCGTGATGGAGTTCAAACAAGGCGAAGCACCTCGGAGCTGGCTCTTAAGCAGGAGCATGCAGGAAGTGAAAAGCAGCCTGTGCTGCTGTAGTCATTTCGAAGCACAAACAGCATGTTACCAGTCATCCCTGGTGCAGGAACGACAGTAACCAGAACGCTTTAAAGCTCAGGATGAGGATGGATTTTTGAGGTACCATCACAACATAAACCTTCTTGTACTTAACTTACTGATGTCCGTTGGAACTGGATGCGCTTTAAGGTCCTTCCAACCCAAACGAAACCACACACAGCACCTCCCGAGCCCGCCCTCCATCCTTCCCTCCCTCAGGCGCCTCCAAGCGCAGCTCCACCCGCCGCCGGAGCGAGGCCCCCGCGCTTCCCGCCCGCCCCTCAGCGGGGCGCCGGCCGCATTGCCTGTCGGGGACACGGGCCCTCGGAGGCTAAGCACCGCCGCTCCTGCGGAGACAGGCTCTCCAGCGGCCAGCCGCGGCTCCGCGAGGACCCTGCGAGGCGGAGCGGCGACGGGCAGCGCGGTGGGGCGGCTGGAGGCAGGTTAGTGCCGGGGAGCGGGAGTCACCGCCACGCTGCGCTCCCCCCCGCCTCGCCCGAGTGGGCCCGCCCGACTGCTTGGGGCGTGAATGGGCGGGCGGAACGATCGCGTCACGGGAAAGGGGAGCCCGGCGGGCGCGGAGACTCCCCTGGTAGAGAATGGACCAGCCCATCTGCCCGTTGGGAACTGGCGAAAGAGGCGGTACCATCTCCTTGTTTGGGGGTAGGGACGGCAGTTGTAGCCTTTGTAGCTTCATAACCTTTCCAGTATGCGAGGGGAGGGAAAGGCAGCCGTGGTTGAAGACGTTGAGGGACAAGGGACCGGTCCCGAGGAGCAGGGAGGTCAACAAGGAAGGCTCTGTGGGGTGGCCCTGGAGCCCGGCGCCTCATCCCCTCAGGGCAGCCTGATCCGGGCGTGGGTTATGGTTCGCCCGTGGCTTCAGGGGCTCCTGCTTCACTGCCCATTGTGCTGCTGTGTCCTGACCAGCCTGAGGTCCCGCATGGCTTCATCCTGTGTGGCAGAACCCTGAGTGGTTTGGGTTGGAAAGGACTTTAAAGTTCATCCAACCCCATGCCACGGGCAGGGACCCCTTCCACTGGAGCAGCTTGTTCCAAGCCCCTGTGTCCAACCTGGCCTTGAACACTGCCAGGGATGGGGCAGCCACAGCTTCTCTGGGCACCCTGTGCCAGCGCCTCAGCACCCTCACAGGGAAGAACTTCTGCCTAAGAGCTCATCTCAGTCTCCCCTCTGGCAGGTTAAAGCCATTCCCCTTGGCCTGTCCCTGCAGGCCCTTGTCCAAAGCCCCTCTCCAGCTTTCCTGCAGCCCCTTTAGGCACTGGGAGCTATTGCCAATGTGAAGATCCACTTGTGTTAGGCTGCCATTGTGAAAACTGAGGTATTGAAGGGTTTTTAATAAAAACCGCTATGCTGTGAGCTCTGTACTTAAAATTAGCCCATTCTGAAAACTGGCTCTGCAAATAACTTTCATACTGCCCAAATAAATATACTGTGGAGACCCAGTGGAGATGGATGGTAAAAGCGGTGTAAACCTCCACCCCCAGATTTCTGCTAAGATGGGATATTCTGTCCCCATCTGTAGCTGTGCAGGCCATGCGGGCATGGAGCATTTGCTCTGCAGTCGTTGTCTTTAGCTAGAGAATTTATGTAATAACACCTTCTTCAGTTCTTTCTTAGTCCTCTTTTCATCTCTCTCAGCATCAAAATTCCCTGTGCCAGGGTATAAGCATCTGAGGGAAGAGAGGTTTTTTGTCAAGGAGATAATGTGGAGTCATGCAAATTCCATTCTGTCCAGGCGTTAAGTATTTTATCAGAGAAGATGTCTGAGAAACCTGGTGCCCTCTTTTCCCGTGCAATTGATGAAGCTCCCTTAGAAGTTCTGTTACCAGCTTTGTATCATAGATGTTTAACCTTGGACTATGTAGCAACAGGCATACTATAAAATAAGCATGTTTATTCTTCTTATTGCAGGGAACCAGCAGGAATAATGAAAGCAGAATCCCACAAGTTTTCTGTGCTTGTGTCTTGTACCTGAGACATCAAGTTCACATCGTCTTATCACTGATAAAAGTGTACAGCTAAAAAATGAGACTTATTAAGGCAGGTTCTAATCACAGTGTGTTTTTTAAAAGCACATATATGTTACATGTTCTGTAACCAGAAAAGCTCAATGTAAAGTTGTAATCACTTGCTAGTGATGACGGATCACATTGTTACTGTCTCACAGACAGGAGAAAAGCTTCCACAGCGGCCTTTGGCTAAGAAATAGCCCAGCAGACTTGCTTGTGAAGTAAAATACAGCCCTTGCAGCACTCATAAGGAGAAGTACTAGTTCTGAAGACAGCTTTTTAGCCAGGTGACTTGCGCATGACCTTGCTGTTTTCTTCCCCAGTGCCTTTACACTCCGAATGCTGGGTTCAACTTGCGGCTGAGTCTCATGGACCTGTTTGTGTGACATAGAAGCCTGCTGTAGAAAAACTGCTTGACTGTCCCCTTTACAAGAGGAGAGGGTAACCGTTTGGGATGCTGAATATCCCTGAGCGCTTCCAGTCTGACAGTCTGCAAAATCCATGCTGCCACACACATAGTCAACCATCAGATAGCCTGAGTTAGCTCACCCGAACTGTGTGGTGGACTGTATCACCCTAGGTCTTGCTTTCAAAATTACAATTAACAATATCCACTTTTGCAGAGCATTTTGAGCTTTACAGTTGGAGCACTGTATCATCATTTAGTAGTGTTGCATTCATTTTCACTTGAACAGCGCCGTTGGTGTCAATGGGACTTGCTGGAATGTGCTTGCTGAGGCCTTGAACCAGCAATACCAGACCTAATGATCCTCTTCCCAACAGTCTCAGTTGTTTAGAGAATTTTTTGACATGCACAAATAAAGGCACTTTAAAAACAAATAGCACCTGATTTCCATATATAGAGTCTTTGGGAAAATACCACCCCATCAATTACGGGTTTTTTTTAAACACTGCCTTTTATTTCTCTGTCTAAAGGGGCCCATTTAATACTGCGAGTAATGTTCTGAGTAGTGCCGGGCTTGGCACAAATGAGGCGCTTAACTGAGTTCCTTATTTTTATTATCCATTGTCTGCTAACCAGTTTTCTGTTGTTTCATTTATTTGCCCTCTCCCTGGGGAAGGAGGATGGCAGCTCGGCGTGCGCTGAAAGCTGTCTTGGTGGATCTCAATGGCACACTTCACATTGAAGACTCAGCTGTGCCAGGCGCTCAGGAAGCTCTTAAAAGGCAAGTGACCTTTTTAGATTCCCTCTGATAGGCTATGGCAGTACTGTTTGCACAAAGATGCTTCTTCAAGTAGACAGGCCTGAAGCTTTTGTGCTTTTTGTGCTTTCGTGGATAAGCAAACATGGCCAAATTCTGCTTCTATTTACACCTGTATCAGTACCAAGAGAAGTCACTGAAGGGCACTGAAAAGTTGCCTGAGCCCCTGCAGCTTTCCCGAGTTGTTCCACAGGTCTTGTAGTTCTAAGTTTTTTGACGCTGTCAGGTTAAATATTGTCCCTTCCAACCCAAATGATTCTATGATTCTATAGTATTCAGAGTGTTTCTGCTGATGGCAGTACAGCCTCAGCCAAAGTGGAATGTCGTTCAATTAACCCAGATTATCCCACGTACACCAGTCACTTCAGCTGACCTGTTCCTTGCTGCTTTGTTTAATCACAGGAGTCTGTGTCCGTAGGTCTGTGGTAAGCTAAAGTGGAATAATAGAATAACTTGGCCTAATGAACAGAGCATCCTTTGCAGAGTTTTCATTTTGCTTGGTCTTCCAGCCAAAGCTTTGCTTTATTATTTGTTAAGTTTCTGCTAGGTAAAGAGCCTCAGTCTGGGAAACATCTGATAATACAGCCCACTTTTTGTAGGTATTCCAATGTGTTAATGAACGGGACAGTTTAGTACCTCTCTTTCTTGTGATGAAAGGGTGTTTAAAGAAACTGAGACATAGTAAAATGACTTCATCTGGCCAAGTCTGT